GACAAAATTAAATAAAGGATATTTGGTGGTGCAAGATCTGACTCCTTTTCTGTGAGCAATAGGTACATCTAACTCATTAGGAAATATAGGTAACTCACCAATAGAAGAAGGTTCAGCTTCGGCAGATCGCATTTCTTCAATCATAGCTTGCTTCCATTAGGAAATATAGGTAACTCACCAATAGAAGAAGGTTCAGCTTCGGCAGATCGCATTTCTTCAATCATAGCTTGCTTCCATTAGGAAATATAGGTAACTCACCAATAGAAGAAGGTTCAGCTTCGGCAGATCGCATTTCTTCAATCATAGCTTGCTTCCATTAGGAAATATAGGTAACTCACCAATAGAAGAAGGTTCAGCTTCGGCAGATCGCATGATGACTTTTTTCTGCTCTATTTCTCCTTGAGTAAGTTTTCAAATTAGGTCTATCCAAACGCCTAATAGTCTCCCCCTGTATCCCTGTATTCTGTCTTTAATTTTACTTTCCCCTGTGGTACTGGCAGTGGTTTCAGCAGTAGAACTCACGAGAATCATCTCTTCTCTTTTATAGTTCTCCCCTTTAAGAGGTGATAATGTAATACTTAAATAGGTGATTCTCGAAAGGTAACATCCATGCTGACAAAGATTCTCCGAGAGGGAGGATGATGGCATTTATACACTTAAGGGCTTTTAGATCAAGTTTCCCAGAGTTCCTAATGTGAACAAGCAGACACACCCAAATACCTTCGGAGGAATAATATAGTCATTCTTACCCTTTAGTACTTCCAGAGGAGTTTGAAAATTGAGGGTTTTTAGTGGCATTCTATTGATGAGATAGGTAGCTACTAAAATGGCATCCCCCTCCCTCCAGTAAGGTTTTGGTAGATTTGTGGTAAACATAAGAGATCTTGCCACTTCTAACAATTGCCTATTTTTCCATTCTGCAAACCCATTTTGTGCACTAGTATAAGGATAACTAGTTTGATGGATTATCCCATAAGACTCCAAATAAGCACCAAAAGTTTTATCCATGTGTTCTGTGCCATTATCAGTACGCAAGATTTTTATCTTAGCCTCAAACTGAGTGCAAATCATCTTATGAAATGACGCAAAGCAGGAGAAAACTTCACTTTTGGCCTTTAACAGATGCACCCAAGTCATTCTAGTACAACAATCAATAAAAGTAACAAACCACCTACTACCAGATAAAGAAACTTTTTGAGTAGGACCCACACATCATAATGAATAGTCGAAAAAGGAATTGTACTTTTATTATCGCTCAAAGGATAAGAGTTTCTAGTATGCTTGGCAAATTCACAAGCATCACAACAAAGAGTCAAACTCAGTTCTAGAAAACAAACTAGGATATAACTTCTTTAAAGCAAAAAATGATGGGTGCCCCAACCGTGTATGCAACTGTATTATTTCTTGGTTGACATCCTTATTTCCTCCAAAAAAGGCCTCACTAGTGTCTCGAGTTCCATCAACCCAATATAAGTCCTCATGCAATCTACCACTGCAAATCCTCTTCCTTATTTGAAGATCCTGAAAAACACAATGATCAGGAAATAACTCGACACTACAGTTTAGTTTTTTTGGTGATGGCGCTAACAGTTAACTGGAAACTTAGGGACATAGAGAACATATGATAATGTAATATCAGGTGTACCATCAACAGAACCTGTTCCAGAGACAGGAGTTAGGGAGCCATTGGCTATTCTGGCATAATCTCCTTTGGAACTGAGAGAGTAGTTTTTAAATCCTTTAGAGGAGCCTGTCATGCGTCTATTCGCACCAGAATCAATAATCCAAGAATTAAGATGGGCATTAAAAGCAATACCTGACTGCACGTAATTGGAAGTGGCAACATTAGAAGAGTCAAGTTTATTCAGGAGACAGTGAAAATGTTGAACTTCATCCAAAGACAAAGCTTCTCATGAAGCAGTTTCCTTGGATGTCTCCACATTTTCTACAATATTAGCCTGAACCCTTGATGGACCTACACGTTTTCCTCCACGACCTCTAGTTGGTCTACCATGTAGTTTCTAGCATGTCTCCTTCGTATGCGTTGGCTTTCCACAGTAATCGGAATGCAGGCGATCTTTATCAGAAGTGAACGCCTTTGGTTGTTCATGAGGCACAACTAACCCGGTGCTGAATAAAACATGACCCCTCGTCGACTCTCTTCCTGTTGAACATAAGAGTATGCATCTTCAAGAGAAGGAAAATGAACTTTACTGAGAACTTGAGCCCTGATCTGATCATATTCTTGGTTTAAACCGGCCAGAAAATCATACACCCTTTCCTTTTCAACCAATCGTTGAAAGAGAACTGTTACTTGGAGATCCTAATAGTAGTCAATCTCCTGCCTTAACCCGCATAACTCGGAATGATAATCAGTGATAGTCAACTCACCCTGCTTAGTCGCATGAATTTTATTTCGAATTTCAAAAATCTGGGCATCATTTCCCTTGCGAGAATAAGTGTGCTTGGCTGAATTCCAAATTTTTTCAGCAGTGTTAAGCAACAAATATTGTTTAGAAATTCGAGGGTGCATAGTATTCAAAAGCCAAGTCATAACAAGGGAATCATCAGAATCCCATTGACTATAAGTAGCATGAGTCACAACAGGTTGTTTCTTTTTTCCAATAATATAACCAATCATCTTCCTGAATAAACAACAAACAAGCCCTTGACCAGGCAAGATACGAACCAGCACCATCCAACTTTACCATACTAATACCATGTGAAACAGAATTATTGTTATCTACTGTTTTTTAGTCCCCCATATTTTTGAACAATCCGAAGCACAAAAAGAAATTTCAGAAAATAAATTCTAAACGGAAGAACCTGGTAACCCAAACACAACCTTCAGAATTTGAAAAAAGGCTCTTGGAGCTAACTGGTTACGCTGGACTTGTTTTCTGGTGTTCGGAAAAATCTGAAACTTGTTTGGGTAGGTCGTACTGTAGGTATAATCCTTCCAGTGATACCAGTTTTTGTACAGAACTAGCGGAGGATGAAAAAAAAAGGCTTCGGACAGAAACTTTAGCAAGAAAACTATAAGAAAGAGGGAGAAAACTCAACTTATGGAACCCTAGTGCTGCAGAGGGAGAAAACTAAAAGGGCAGCAATGGCTTCTGATACTGTGATGAAATTGAGAAGAAGAGAATGCTTCTTTGTATTTTAATGTATTTTACATCCTACTGTTACATGCCTTTATACAAAAGCTCTACAGCTATTCTAGGAAAGTAAATAAATGAAAATAATGAGAGAATATTCAGCTAGAATACAATTTTCCTACAATCAAGCTATTAATTACAGATTTGATTCTCTGATTTTGTCCTATAATTAAGCTGGTCAACAGGTCCTTTTCCCGACTTCGCTTGCTTTGCGTTTCTGATTGGTTCCAGCCATTCCCAGCCTTAATGGATAGACGACTATAAAGGGGTCAGTCAAGCGGTTCACTATCCAATCTAACCATCTCTTCTGAAGCCCTTTCCCTTCTAGTAGCCCTTCATCGTTACTGAAACATAGGTTGTGACCAACAGACATCATCTCTCGGCTTGTTGTTAAGGTGAGAGCACCCTCTTGGTAGAACAAGAAAATTATTATTGCTCCTTTTTTTTCGAAAAGTGGGATGCTATATCTAGGATTGGGATCCGTAAATATTTTAATAGATATGTTCATTGAATCAGTGCGGACAAGAATTTCAAAGCACAACAATAAACTAACAAGGCTATTTTAAGTTGTAACACATGGAACCATCTAGGATGTGGAGGATACAAATCCCAAAAGAATTTGTAAGACTGTTTAAAATTTATTTTTAGAGCTTTATGACATTGAACATATGACAGTATTGACAAATGGGTTCATGGGGAAGAATAAAACTTCTTTTATTTTGCTTGCATTTGGATTTGTAACATATCTTATGAGTTCCCAAGTGCAGTAGACTTATTAGAGGGAACTTTCTTTTTATTTGATACAGAATTATAAGAGTGAACGAGAAGTTACAGAAAGAAAATTTGGACATTAACTTAGTGATATATTTTAGAACAAACGACATGCACTAGCAGCTTTTTTATAAAAAATTGTGTGTTATGTAGGGACTTATACACAGACTTTCCGGTAGTTTTTGTTCAAACTATGTCCCAATTTTTCCTGTTCTGCAACGTCAACTTCCTCTTTCACCCCCTAGACATTAATATCTAATTTAATTTGGCTGTTTCTGGAATTAGTCTCAATTTTTCCAAATCTCTGACATATTTATGCTTTTTTAGGATCAGCGAGCAGTTAGGTTCTTGTAGTTTGTGTTTTCTAAATTTGTTATAATGCAGCGGAAGTTGCAATTTCACTTGCAGCTCCCAGTGTTGTACTCTCCAACACTTGTCCCTAATTTTGGAAATATAGTTGATAAAAATATTCAGTCATTTCCAC